TATATATATATATATATATATATAGTAAAAAAATAATATACTATACAGTATATATAATATATAATTCACACTTATAACTAACATAAAAAACTTTTATTTTTATTAATTTATTTATTTGTTTATACAAATTTTTATTTGTTTGTCTCGTTGAGCTGTATAGCTGCTGGAAAGGGGGGAAATATTCTGTATTTTATTTTATATTGTTTTATTTTATTTTATTTTATTTTTAAAAAATATAAATAAAAATAAAAAAAATAAATTAAAAACTTTTTTATATTTTTATGTGTTGAGCTGATGCTGCCGGTCAGCCCTCTGGGGTGTATACGCAGCTCTCTCTCTCACACCGCAGCAGCGAATCATGCAGCTATTCTCCATAATATTATCATAAATATAATTATAATTATATTTAATAAATTAATTTATTTATTTATTTATTTATTTAAAAAAAAAAATAAAAAATAAAGAAAAAAGAATGCTGATGATGCAGGTGTACCGCTGCTGATCGCTGGGCGGTGGGTGGTTAGGGTTTCTTGTATTGATAGGAAACACCAACAAGCAGCCGTTTTATTTTTTATTTTTTAATTTATTTATATAAATATAAAAATAAAATTAAATTAAATTAAATTAAATTAAATTAAAATGCTTTTATTTATTTACCTTGTAAGTAGATAGAGGCCATGGTGGTGTGCTATAGGGCCCCAGGATGAACACCGAGAATATATAACTAAGCAGCAGCAGCAGCAGCAGCAGCAGCAGCAGCTGGAGCAGCAGCAGCAACAACAACAACAACAACAGCAGAAGCAGCAGCCACAGCAGCAGCACACGCAGCTGCTGCAGCGGCACCTGCTGCAACAGTTGCAGCAGCATCAGCACCAGCTATATAACTAAACAGCAACAGCAACACCTGCAGCAGCAGAACCAGCAGCCACAGCAGCCACCGCAGCAGCAGAAGCAGCATCAGAAGCAGCATCAGCAGCAGCACCAGCAGCAGCACCAGCACCCACCCCAGCATCAGCAGCATCAGCAGCATCAGCAGCATCAGCAGCCTCCCCAGCAACCACAGCATCCCCCGCATCCACCGCAGCAGCAGCAGCAGCAGCAGCAGCAGCAGGAGCAGCAGCAGCAGGATGGTGCGTTGCGGTCGTTGTGTTGCAATGGAGAGTGAGGTGTTTGACGCAGTGAGAGATTTACGAGATCCTGAATTTGCTGCTGAGACACTCGAGATGCTGCAGGTGCTGCAGCAGCAGCTCGTTGTTGTCAGGTGTACAGCCACCTGCCGCATACACAGCAGCAGCAGCAGCAGCAGCAGCAGCAGGGGTGGTGGTAGTGGTGATAATACGCACTATGTAGACCCCTGGAAGGAAGAAGATTGCATCAACTGCTGTAGTCGGTGCAGCAGCAGCAGCAGCAGCAGCAACAGCAGCAGCAGCAGCAGCAGCAGCAGCAGCAGCGACAACAACAATAACAACAACAACAACAACAACAGCAGCAGCAGCAGCAGCAGCAGCAGCAGCAGCAGCAGCAGCAGTGATGAGGTAATAGAAGGCTGCAGGCCTGATTGCCGTTGCTGCTGCATTGTGGTGTCTATACACCCCACGAGCCGCCGCTGCTCTTTTGCTGCTGTCTTGGGTTTATTGGTGCGGGCTGAATTGTCTTTGCGGTTTGCTGCTGCTGATGCAGCAGCTATCGCTCTCAATGGAGGCCTAGATACTTCTGCTGCTGCTGCTGCTGCTGCAGCAGCAGCAGCAGCAGCAGCAGCAGGGGAACACACAGGAACTGCTGCTGCTGCTGCTGCAGCACCAAATGCATCGTCAGCACCACAACCATCATCATCAGCAGCAGCAGCAGCAACAACAACAGCAGCAACAGCAGCAGCAGCAGCAGCAGCAGCAGCAAGTCCTTGTATATGGATCCGTATATGCGGCCACGAAGCAGCAGAAGAACTAACAAAACAACTGAACGATAAAGAGCGAGTTGCTGCTGCTTTATCTACCCCAGCAATCAGACAAACTGTACTTGCTGCTATGCTTATGGAAGATGCAGCATACTAATTCTCCTCCTGCTGCTGCTGCTGCTGCTGCTGTTGCTGCTGCTGTTGCTGCTGCTGTGGCTGCTGCAGAGACTGATTATGAGGAGGCTAAGGATGCTGCTGCTGCTGCTGCACAGATCGTCTTGCTGCTGT